TGCCTCCTTTCACCCACGTATTCCAAATCAATTATCTGTAGGTGGGGACCAGGATTCCAGGTGATTGCAATGTGCAGCCAAGGCTGAGAACCACTAATCTAGATGTCCAAGATTCAGGAGGGGGCTTGGGTAGGCAGACACAGAAGTGTCTTCTTGTACCAACTAATTAGTGAGGGCCTAGGTGCCATTCAGAGTGTGATCCTTGGACTAGCAGCATTGACTTCACCTGAAAACTTTTTAGAAATGTAGACTTTCAAACTCTACCTAGACTTAAGGACTCAGATTCTTCATTTATTTATTTTTTAAAATTATTTTGTACAGGGTCTCAATGTGAAGCTCAGACTCATAGTGATCCCCCTGTTTTCAGCCTCCCCAGTGCTGGGATTGCAGGTGTGCACCACCACACCTAGGCTTGATGGCCTGGCCTGGCTCAGCATGCCCAGGATTGGGGCTACACAGCATTTGATACCAGGATTGAATCCTGGCCCTTGTGCTTGCCTAAGCAGGTGCTTAGCCCACTGAGCTATCTCACCAGCCCAGAATCTTCATTTCAAAAAGATTTTTAAGGTTATTTATCTGGACCTTAAAATTTCAGAAATGAGGACAGAGGCAATAGGACACTTCATCAGGCTTGGAAAATAAATCTTCAGCTGATATGACAGTAATCCTTGTCCTAGAACATTCTTTTTGTAGGTGGTTGATGAAGCATGAATCAGTGTCTGACCTTTTCCATTTCATCCATTTTAACTACTTACAATTGTTTTCAGAGGACAGGATGAAAGGGGGTGAAAGATGCCTGAATTTATTGCATCAGTGACATAAAATTATACAATAAGGAGATATACTAAGAGTATATTTCTATTATACACCCAAACTGGTCCATTTTCTTACAAAATAAAGATAATCATGTTTCATTGAATTGACTAGAAATATTCTTTGACTTTGGATGATGGGGATCCAGGGAAAGAAAAATCAGTAATTAGTATCTCATAATCATTCCACTTGACTATCTCCATTGAGACTACTAGGTGGCAGTTCTATGATGCCAGAACCAAATCTCCATAAAGGAATTTCAGAAAAATGAATTTATACCCAGTTCTCTGAGTTGAGCAACTTTGTCTCTGGACCATTCTTCCAGCAGGAGCCTGAGAAGAGGACTTGAGATCCTAAGACAATAACTTACCAAACTCAGACCTAGACAGTGATGCCAATGGTTTTTTTTTTAGCACTTGCTATGTACTAAATCCTGTCCTGAGAGCTTTATATAAATTAGTTCAGTTAATTCTCACCATTGCTTGAAATACTTCTTTTCCCTATGTTCAGCTATAAAACTAAGAGAAAGGTTATACAAATAGTAAGCAGGATTTAAGTCAAAGTAATATTCTGTGATCTTCTGCAATTCTTGACTGACCCCAACCCTAACTACAATATCATTGACTGTGTGGATTTGACCTACACCTCATATAGGTTTTGGATGCCATGACAGTTCTTGTAAGGTCATAAAAAGTAAAAAAGACTCCACTGCCTCATAGCGGTGCTGTGTTAAGGCTTATGTTGACAAGAGACACACCCTCAATCCCTGCCTAAGACCTAAAACCCTCAATATTAAGCCTCCTTAGTACCAATGCACTGAGCTCTTCTCACTGTCCCTTTCTTACCCTGTGGAGTGTATCTTGTATCTTTCTTTCAAGTAAGTCACTGATCGTGCTGCTACTCTTGGGTGTCCCACACACTCTTGCTACTCTTGCTGTCCTGCTACTCTTTGGGAGGTCTTTGTTTGGGACATTAAGAAACTGGACAGGATTTCTATACTGATAATATTGAGAAGACTGAAATCACAGACTTAAATCTGAGAATCTTTGGGTATCCAAGGCCATACCACAAGAACTAGGCTTCCAAGGTAGCTCAGGAAGCTACATGTCGAGTGGGATTGGACCATGTTTCTCTTCTACAAGATACACAGCCAAAAGTAGCTACTGAACTCTGCCTCTCTCACCAAACATCCTCAAAGTACATCTGACTGATAAAATTCTGCTCACATGTGGACCTTTGGATGAAAAGGACTCTTGGGAATGTTTTGACTTCTTAACCTCTTTGGGAAAGGAAGGATTACTAAAAGGATATTGGGGTATATATTGTGTTAATCAGTGGGGCTCCATCACAGAATTGATATTGCCTTCTACAACTGGATTATGTATAAAAATGAGATACTTGATGTCTCATTGGATTTTATCTGGAATTATATCGTATTGTCTCCTTCACTTTAGACATCTTTCCTCTGATTCACTAGGTTTTTATTTCAACTTTACTTTCTCTATTTCCAAATTCTTGAGAGGATACTTATTATAATTCTCAGTATCCAATAATTATTATTTAGCAACATAAAAAATCATCTTTCACAATGTAGAATCTACCTAGTGGGAAGAACAATACAAAACAGAAAAACTTCCTTTATCTAAATTAAAGAGCCACCAGTATAAGCACATTCAACAAAATAGATAAGTAGCAAAATCAAAGGTATATAGTCTTCCCCCATTGTCTTAAGGAAACCAGAAAATTACCCAGGCAAATTATTTGTCAATAGGCAGTATCTCAAGACTCAATCAAGTACATCATGTTTTCTTAAGAAAGTTGCATTTCACCTCAACTTTCATTTATCACACTGTAAAAGAGATCAGTGAAAAAGGCAAAAATCAAGAAAGGTACTTTTTAGGTGTTTGCAGCACAGTTATGCAATACTTTTCTGAGAAACTTACGAATCACTTTGTTATGGAATGTACTTAGATGTCCCTCTAAAGCCTCATTCAGCCTGAGATGGGTTTTTTTTCAGAGGTGGATGTATCTAAAGTATGTAATGCTGTCATTAAGGATGTGTGCTTACTAAATCAGTTCACTGATTGGTTTGGCACCATCTTAATCACAGTAGGGCACTGCTTAGGTGCCTTGGTCGATTGCTCAATAACTTATCCTAACTCCTTCAGCACTTTCACTAATGGACAGCTCTCCATAGATTCTGGTCTAAATAGAACATTGCTTTTTCAATGGACTCAAATTCTGTGTAAAAGGAGTGAGACTATATGATAGTGTATTACATCATCCTTTCCTTCAAAATCACTTGCAGTACCCCTGTCAGAAAGGTGACTACTAGGGATGCTATTTAGTAATGTATAAGTTCATGTAGGATGCAGCCATGGATTTCCCTTTGTCTGAGCTTTTCTAAAGCACCAGCACACATGCAATAATAGCAATAACATTACTTGGTATCTGCTGTGGAGTAAGTGCTTTGCTCTAATATGTTCATACAAACTAACTCATTTACATGACTGCTCTGTGAGGTAGCTACATAAAATATTGTAGAATAATATTCTGCTAACATAAAATAATGTTATTTCCATTGAATGAAGAATCTGAAAGACCAATTATTGAATGATTTAGCATATATAAAGCACTTCAAACAGTGCCATACTCTGAGTTGATTCAATAAATGTTAGTATAACCATATAATTAATGAATGGCAGAGCTGGGATTAAAGTCAAAGCACTGTTCATACTTGACCACTACTTTCTACTGTGATACCTATGTAAACTGACAACTAGGAATAGTCTTAAGTACCCAATAGAGACTCCAGATATTTCAAGGACCAATATTTGCTAATGCGGATATCTGATCATGTTACTCCTTTGCTTAAGGGTCTTTGAGGCCTCCCTATCACCCACAGGATGAGGCCAGCTTTGTGCAATGTGACACGATTTTTCATCATGTCATCTGAGCCACTGCTTTCCTGGAACTTGAATTTCAGCTTTATCATTCTTGCTATGTCAGTATTCCAAGCTGACTCTCCCCCTTTATCTCGCCCTTTCAAATGCTCTTTCCTAACTTTCCTACCTAATGGTAAACAGCCAGTAAAATTTCTTCTGAAGCCCTTTCTCCAGCCCTGACACCAGCCTACAGAACTGTTGACTCGCCTCAATGCTCCTGCAGGAAGTTTCTCGAACTTCCTCATGGCCCTAACTACACTGCATTAAAGTCTCATGGTCTGCATGCCAACATCTCCCACCAGATTGTCTACTGCTTGAGAGGAGGACTGCAAGTAATGATGATTTGAAAAACATTCAGAGGACAATTATTATTATGTTCCAGGAACAATGTTCATTATGCCTACATGATTTGATTGGTCCTATAGCTAGTGAATCTCCACTTCCTCATTATTTCACATCTTAGTTTGGGTTTCCCAGAAGCAGGCTTTAACATGAGGATCAAAGTCAAAATAGCTTATAAGGTAAAGAAGCACTGATGGTGAGGGGTGGGAGGAGATGAGACAGGGTGAATGGAGCTGTAAAGAGTGTTGTTAATCCAGTGTTGACTGTGGGCAGCTGGAGCTCAGGACTGTGGTGAGCTTAGGGAAATGGTGCAATACCTCCTTGCAGATAGCCACTGTAGAAGAAGGGCTGCTGGGTATTTGCATACTGAGCCCCATCATCTCAGAGATATTAATTTCTTCATCCTTTCCCCTCACCTACCACTTGGTCTCTGGGAAGAACGCCTAGCTCTAGAAATGCTTTCAGGAAGAGTGTAGGTACCAGAACCTAAAGGTGAGCAGAAGCATGTTGGAGGGCAGGAAGAGGCATCTGAGTGAGGCATCATAGCACCTCATTCTTGTCACTCTGAAGCTGCTTATGGTGTGGAGAGACAAAATTTGGGAAGGCTTCAGATCACTCTTGCTGATAATAGACTTATCTCCTAGCTCACAACACAAATTCTATGGACTAAAGAACATAGGAAGCTGAAAGTAATATGAGACTGGGCCGGTGGATGAAACCTAATATAAATTGGTTTTGGATGTATGCATACATTATGCATGAGGTTATAACTTCTAGGAGTAGGCAAATATTCCTTTAATTCCTTACTATATGCTCACTATAAATCAAGAATGTTTAAAAAATTTAGTTAAAACAAAATGAGTACACACTGCCTGCAAATGGAAAGCCTGGCCTTTCGTCATGGATATAAATCAAACATTTACAGATCAACTTAATAAGGAAGTCTGCAGCTGTGATGTGGAAGAGCCCACCCCAGAGGAAGAAAGGTCTTAACCTGAGTAGTCCTCTGATATTGGCTGTGCTTATTATCTCAAGATCCCTTTTGGGTCTTTGTGAGGGAATTTTATGGAGAACAAACCAATATAAGGGCAAAATATAAATAGCTGGGATCTCTGATAATAGCTACATTATTTCTTTAATTTTCTCCAGCAGTGTGTTTATAGTTTTCTTAGCAAGGAAAATACAAGTTTTAAAAATAACTTCTTGCATGGAGCTATCCGATTTACCTTATTGAGAACAAGCTACTGCTATATGATAGCATAGCATAGCTAGGGAAAGGGGCACAAAACTGAAAATATATCAACAGATACAAAAGCTAGAAAAATTTTAAAGGTGAGGGTAGAGGATTTAAGGGATTCCAGAGTAAATTTACCTGAGTGATTTTAACATCTGCATTGATAAGCTTTACTTGCTGTGACCAAATCTCTGAGAAAAACAACTTAGAGGAGGAAAAATTTATTTTGTTCACAATATCAGAGATTTTAGCCCAGAGTCAGATGGTTCCAATGCAAAACCATGACTGCAAGACGGTAAGGCAGAAGAAAGCTGCTCACCTCTGGGCAGCCAGGAATCAGAGACAATGAAAGAATGGAGAAGGAGGGGCCAGGGACCAGAAATGGTCCTCAATGTCGCACATCTCATATGCAATCTCTTCTTCTAGACCACCCTCCTAAGTCTTCATCAAATCTCAATAATGCCATCCAGTTATGATCTTTTTGGTGGACATTGATGAAGTTAAAGTACTATTGATCTAATCACCTCTGTAGGAGAGTTTAATCCAATCAAGTTGACAAGATCAACCATCATGACAACAGTCATTCCTGTTCATCATAATCGAGTGCTCTACTACTGAGGTGCACTGTCATTTCTTAACATCTTTCAATAATATTCAATAAATTCATCAATGAGTTATACCCAACTTAGTTAGAGTGGCTCATTTAGACTCCTGAGGTATCCTGTCATGTTTCTCATTTTCTCTTTGCTCTGTGTGCTCAGTGACTTATTTCCAGAGACTTTAAGTTATCTTGAAACTGATAGGTTATGGCCCTACTATGAATTGCTGAATTATTATGGTGGTCATCTGATATGGCTGAAGTCCTTCAAACAACAGCCTATCTTCCCAATGACACTTACTCTTCCTTCCCCACTCTAGCCCTGGGTACAACTTCCTTTGGCCTTTCCTGCCCACACAAGGGAGCCTCCAATCAGCTCCTTGTATGTCCTGAATCTGCCCCTCAAACTCTGCCCCTAACGAAAGTCCATAAAGTCCCAGGCTCCCTGTCTCTGGTCAGAGGATCTTCCTACCTCCCTGCCCTTGATCCTCTCTGTGTGTTTAGAGTTAATAAAGCTTCCCCTCCCCCTATTTCTGCTTCTCTGCCACTCCACCACCACCACCATCACTGTTGCTTCTAAAACCTATCAGAAACCAGGAAGTGCTTGTCAGAGGGCAGATGTGACCACATCTGTCATTTTAAAAGAGCAATCCAAGTTATCATAAGTTGATCAAAATCAATCATCGTTGACTTAATTCTGATGATCTTTTTTGGAAACTGAGAAAGTCAAGTGCCGACATCACAAAGCTAAGAACCAGACTTGGCAGTGTGGCCTCACTAAGTTAAAGCCAATCTATGATGCTTTGTCCTGTTAACTCCTGTATCTTCAAACTGGACAACAGCACCTGTGTAGTACAATGTGGGTGAAAGAGAGCTGCTCATTGGTGGATTAATACATTGCAAAAGACCTAGACAAGAAAACTTCCTCAACCCTGAGAGGCAAAGAAGACCAGTTGAACATAAAGAGTCTAGCTTTTGGAGGGAGATAACCAAGATACTCTGTTTTTCTACTTCATTTTATAAAATGTGAATAATTGTGGTGTGACTTCTTGTCACAGAACTAAAACTTGTATATCTACCAATAAACATTGTCCTTCAAATTCATCCTGAGTATTATACTGGGTATGTTCCCTACCATCACCCATCAAAACAACCGAAAAGGTTACTGTTCAAATGCTTTCTGGAGTTTTGCCTTGGAAATTTCCTGCAGAGCTATTTGAGTAATAAAAGTTTATTGTTTAAGCTACACAATCTGTGGTGCACAGGAGTTGCTTAACAAGAGGGATATATTTTGAGAAATGCATCATCAGACATGTTGCCATCATGTGTAACTACTATAGGGTGTATTTGCACAAACCCAGCTTACTGCTCACCTGGGTTATATGATAACTGTATGTTCTAGCTTATTGCTCTAGGGCTATGATCAACAGAACAACATGAGATTAAATGAGATACAAGAGAATATGATGCAATCAAAAACTTCTCTGAAAATGAGGTGTGTGAGGCTGCTGCCTACATAACATGGGAAGCTCTTTTATAGCAAACTTTTATAGAGGGAGTGCTCTCTAAGATAACATTAAAAGCCAAGATAAGACCATAAACTGATAACAGTCATTTATTGTTAAGTACTTTACATAGCTGTCTATGCTAAACTTTTGTGTGACTGATATGCCATAGAGTTTTCAAATATATAGAAAAGTATCACCATGAACATGTGAGTAATTTTTAATGCTGTAACCTTCTATCAGCTTAGTCATCACTAGGTGGTAGGAATTTTCCAGTTCCATTATAATGTTATGGGACCACCCCATATGTGTGATTTCTTGTTGACTGAAACATTGTTTTATAGCAGGTATTTCACTTGTCACAGCAGCCTGAACAGACACTGCTGAGATGCAACCCATCATACTGTCATCTGCTAGAAGGCAGGAACTGAGTCCATTCTTGTCCAGAGACCTTACAATTTTAAATTATGCAAAGCAGGCACTCAGCGATGTTTTCTCAGGCTGAGGTATGATATTCAGACCTCTACATTGGAGAACTTCAGCAAATAGACTAAAAAAATATTCCTTGGATTTTAAATACCTAAGGAACAACAATTTGGCACCAGAACTAAGATCAAGACCTGTTCCTCCTGTAGAAAGGCTCATTATCCTGTTCACTAGCTCATTTCAGTATTCCTTTCAGAAGAGACAAAATGACAAAAAGATAAAGGCTGTGCAGTGGCAAGTTTTTTATTTATTTATTTATTTTTTAGCAGTAGCACTGTTTTGGGCTGCAGAACAGTTCCAATACTGTGCCTGCCTCAGGATCTGGTAGAAGTTCCCCAGGAGCCTTTTGTTGGCCAAAAGAGTGGCAAAGGCCAACCAATCTCACCACCTAGTGATTTCTGAATAATGGCATGAAAGAACTAATGAAGTAACTGATTGGTGTTTTATTTAGTAGGTTTAGAAATCTAGTAGGGTGAATCATGGCATACATAGTAAGAGTTTTCTTATTTTCATTGGTATTCAATGTAACTTTCTATTATGAGGTCTTCAACAAAACGTGGTATTCTTTACCTCATTTCTAATAGTTTTGTCTGACCATTTGTATTTAAGTTTCTAAAAATATTCTCCTCTATGTCTGGTTTTTGTTAAAGCAATCGAAATGCAAAAGCTTCAAAATTGGCAGCCACAAGGCAAGATGTTGCTTTTAATTATTGGAAGACAGTATTAGGGGAAAATATGATGCCTGCACTGTAAGCAGTTCAACTCATTAAGATTTTAATAAGCACCTCTCCCTGGCTACTTCTGCCTGTTTGTCCTTCATTTAAGTTCACACTAGCTCCTTTCATCAGTTCTTGCTATTTGATCTTGACATCACTGTGCATCATTTATCTCCAGAAATAATGTAACCCCTGCTTGATAGAATTGATTTCTTTGGTTGGAATAGAGAAGCAGACAAAAATAACTACAGTAAGTTAAATGACATAATGAATCACAATGTCTTGTATTATGTAAAATAAAAGGGAAGAGAGGAAACAATTATTTCTGCTTTAGAGCAGGGTGCAGCTTGGGTGAGCAAAATGAAAAGAGTTCCAGGCACAGGGAAAGGCAGGGAGAAGGCTTGGAAGTAGGGTGTGCACAGGATATTCAGGGCAGGCGAAGGTCTGGAGACACAGGGCCAGGTGAAGCTGGGAAGGGTCTGCATTTCCCATGGTAAAGTGGACAGGTTCGCAGTGGAAGGAGCAATCAGAAGCTATTGAATTTCAAGCGGGTAGGTGTCATGATTTTAGAAAGAGCCCTCCTCTAATGCAATGTGGGTGGCTGACTGGATGTGGACCTGCTCAGGTAGCAGAGGAGGAAAAGAGGAATGGGGATGGAAGAGACTTCAGTGGAACTTAGTGCCTCACTTTCAGAGAGACCAAGGTGACATAGCAGGAGAGAACCAAGACTGCAGCACACACCATGTACGCATTTGGCCTCCATGTGCCAAGTCCACCCACTCCCCAGTCCCTAAGCCCTGTGCCTAGGAGGCTGTAGGTTGTTAGGTTTTATTCACTCATGTTTTGTACTCATTATTTTACACTAGTTTAGAGTTTGTAATGAAAAGAGAAAGCTTTTCATCACAAGTTGACTTGTCTCTGTCTGTTGAAGAGGGACACGTTTACTAATGTCATTTAAGAATGCCATCAGTTTTCTTCTGAACGTGGCAGTTCTGAATCCTTAAACAGCTCCAAAGTCCCCAGAAGTGTGGTGCTTGCTGGCATCCAGAAAACACGAGGAGCCACCTCACCCTGTCTAGTCTGGCCTGCTCTTCACCCAGAAATCTCTTCTGTGGTTGCAAAGGAGCCAGTGCAAGTAATCACAGACGTGTTAGGAAAATTATGGGGCTGGAAATGAGGGAAAGAGGGAGAAGTGACAAGTGACATAGTGAGGCATGGCGTGTGGGACAGATCCAGGAGCAAGGTGAACTGCCCACAAGGCAGCCCCAGTACGAGCTCTTTGTCTCTTTCTCACTGGATCAGTGCTTTTAAATGTCCAATTAAAAGCTCAACTACGACGAAGATTATTGGTCAGGTTAGTCATGCTTTCATTACTGTGAAAGAGAGCATTTAGGCTTAGATTCTTTAACAAGGCAAGAGATGATCATTGCAAGAGGAGAGAGGACACAGATTAGGAAATTACAGGAAGCAGCAAAAGAGAAGCCAGCAAAAGCTGGAATGAGTCTCTTAAATACCAGTTCAGCCACATTATGATAACAACATACTATCAGAATGCCATCTTCTAAATCATTTAGTTAGGAAAATAGCTAAATAGTTCTAAAGAGTTGACATAAATACAATTTTTTAAAAAACATTATTTATACTCTTTTAAAAATATCTTTTATAAGGACTGGCCAGATAGCTCAGCAGATTAAAGCACCTGCTTAGGCAGAGCACAATGGCCAGGTTCAATCCCCAGCGTGCTGTGCTGGCCCCATCCCCAGGGTGCGCTGAGATGGTGATTGAGACTGGGTGTGGTGGCACGTGCCAGTCTGAACTGTGGGATACGCATTGTGATTTTTTTTTCTTTTGTTTTCAAAATGTTACAGGCCTCCTTGTCACCACTGTAAATATTTACTGTGATGGAAGCATGACCTATATTGCAATTTTAGCCCCACTGACCAATTCTGGACATGAATCAACAGTGCTCAGTCTAATCCAGAATGAGGCTTCAGGAAAGCACCTTTGGAGCTTATTCATATGTAACGCTCCCCATCTAGATGCAATTTGTTCTGATAGAGGAAAACAAGGGACAAAAATACCTTACATTTATGGTAGGTAGATCTGCCTTACTCTGCCACTCTAAATTAAGAAACAAAAATACCTTACATTTATGGTAGGTGGATCTGCCTTACTCTGCCACTCTAAATTAAGAA